TCACTTTTTTTGCCCGTGCCGCGTGGAACCTGCGGGAGCAACGTTAAAGTATGCAAATGATATTTTATTTGAAGTATACGCGATTAAAACTCACTCGAGAGTGAGAGAGCGCAGTGGGGAGGAGGGGAGAAGGAAAAAAAGAGAGGAAAAAACACATCTTGTTCTTCTCGCAGCAAACTCGGCTAATACCGTGGGGATTCGCTCGCTCGTGAATCCTTCATTTCGTGGATCCTTCTGCTCTTCCTGTCTCCCTCTCTCGCATCTGCACGCTGTGGGGCGTGAGCGCATGCGCGCGCTTTGTTTTCATAAATCCTTCCTTCCGCGGATACTCGGTTACCGTGAATCGCGAAGGCGATAATTCGCCAAGTCGTAACTTGGTCCTCGCAACTTGTATTACGACTCGCAACGGCGATAACTCTCGAACCTGCCGCCACGGTGTTACAAATTGCGGGGATCGCTCTCGTACGCGACCGCCGTGCGAGCCCGTTGAATCGTTTGACCGAGGCGGCCACGTTTTTCGGTGACCGCGCAAACACGCGAGGCGCACCCATGCGACCACTTCCTGAGCTGTGAAAGGGTGGACACGCCGTTCTGCCCGAGAAAGGGAGCCAAGAGAGAGAGAGAGAGAGAGAGCCGCGTGGGAATGGCCTCCTTCGTGTCGAATTACCTTCGAGCGTAACGTTCTTAAACCGCTATCGGAGACAATGCACTTTGCTTATGAAACAATGTCTCGCGAATCCGCACGCGGCCGTGTGGATTTTGTCTGACGAATCGCGTGATGACGTTCCTCAAAAAGCGTGTCTGGCAATGATGAGGCAACACGTTCCTTCACCGAGAAGAGCCAATTTTACCGCGCCGGCGGATATTCGCTCGACGGTCATCGTGGAATTATAAAAAAGAGAAAAGGGAAAACTCTGGCAACCTGGCTGGCTTCATCACCGGAAAATCTCTTGTCCCGCTTGCGCGAAAGCCTCGATCTCGCCGCACTTGACCGCGCGCACCATAATGAGACGGTCTTTAATGGTCGGTTTTACCAAGGTCGATTAACTTGGACCATAATTCACCCTATCCCTCGTCTCTCTTTCCACCCGTGATTCCGCGAAGAGATAAAGGGTCTCTCGAATGAAGCTCGTTAAAGTTCAAGATATTAGTCAAACCGCACCGGCATCAGTCAAGACCGCCGAACCCTCTCAAAATTCTTCCGAAAATTTTTCACGCTCTCTTCCTCCTCCTCCTCCCCCCTCCCGCGCGTTTCTCCCGCGTCAGCTGCGCGTCTGCGAGTAACTGCAGCCGCGCTTCCGAAATTTCATACTCGAGAAGCTGGCGAGAGCCCGGGCCATCGGGATCCTCCCCGCCCGCCCGGCAGAATCGCGAGCGTCTTCGATCGCTAACCTTTCCACAGACATTCCCGAAATTCATCCTCCTCTCCAACTATTCAGCAAGAGCGGAAGTACATCATTCCGCTGCCATTGGTTCCCCCCGACGAGGGTCGCCAGTTGGGGAACACCGCGTCGCGCCGTCCTGCTCTTGCTCGACGTGCTACAACACGTGACGCGTGAACACGTGGGAAGGAGAGACCTTTCTCTCTCCTCCCTCCCACCTGGCCCTGACGCACTCTCCCTCCCCCCTCTCTCCTCTGTCTCTCTCTCTGTCTCTCTCTCTCTCTCTCTCTCCTCTCTCTCTCTCTCTCTCTCTCTCTCTCTCTCTCTCTCTCTCTCTCTCTCTCTCTCTCTCTCTTTCTTCTCCTCTCTTTTTCTCTTCCGTTTTCATCCTCCGGCAGCCAACAGGTAGAAAGAGAGACAGGTGGCTCGCCGGCGATGTATTCATGATGCCGGCTGCGATACGACAATCCTGAACTCTCTGGTCAGTGTTTGCGATGACTACCTCGTGAATCGACGCGTCCGTTCGATGATTGTAAATCGCGATGTCGCGGCTTCCTGCCTGGCTCTCTCTCGTGGAGTCGATCAAAGCCGCTCGCGAACGCGAGGATGAAAAATAGTGTTGTTGATTATCGACGATATCTGGCAACTGTAACGCACCCGAGCCGGAATTTCGAATTTTTTTCGGCCGCTTGTGACTCTTGTGATACGTGCGAATCAATCGACGAGCGATTTTTGTTGGCGCGCAGTTTAAACAAAATCGTCGGTGATGAGGGAATAAAGTGCGCCGAATCACGCGAAGTCGCGTGTTTCGAACGGTGCGAGTGCTCAAAAACGCGAAATTGGATGATTTTGTGCCTTTTGGTTGGTCCATCTCGATCAGAGGGTCAACGAGAGACATTATTTTCTCTTTTGAACATGGATATAGATCCTAACCGTGCAGATGAGAATACCTTTCTTCGATGAATAAACGATCTAAATAATGCGGGGTCTGTAAAACCGCAAATGAGGGATTCTCTCTCACGTAGATCCTTGCTTTTGCAGAATTCAGACAAAGCTCAAATTTACTTTGCCGCCATAACGATTACATAATTCTATCTCGGTTAAAAAAAAAACATTACCATTGCTCTCCAACGCGCGAAATCAGCTGGGATGCGGATTAAGTTTCTCGGTTTAATGTCTTGACGTTTCAGTTCGCGAAATCCTATAATATACACTGGTAACGTCAATATTCATCCTCCTCTCGAAAGTTTCCGAGCATTATTCCGGCGTTCAACGGTAAAGAAAGAGAGAGAGAGAGAGAGAGAGAGAGAGAGAGAGAGAGAGAGGGAGAGAGAGAGAGAGAAGAGAGAAGAGAGGGGGCAGGATATTCGGTTTCGGTGTTTCAAGGTGAGGGAGAGGAGATAAAGGGAGATAAGTGACTGCGAATTGCATATTCCTGTACAAGAGAACGCTACGGTCAATAATTCACGTTACATTTACCAAGTTTGGAATGGATCTCGAGGAAAACATCGTGTCGCCCTCGCGATCTGTCGATTTCGGTTTCGCCTTTCGGCGCATAACGGATATCGACCGTGGAGTGTTGCGCACCAAATTCTGTTAGCCGGAAATATTTGTTCGGTAATATTGGCAGACGACTCGATGGAAATTGTCGTTCTTGCTCCTCTGACAAATGGCTATTATCGTTGATGATTTTATTCCTTCCGCAGTTAATATTTGTTTTCGCCGACAAGATTGCCACGGACTCTCCCACCTGCGTGCCGTTCGATTTCCGGTCGAAACTGCGACGGGAAGCGCTCTTTATCGAATGTACATTAATTGCGAAAAACTAGCGGGCGGCTATTTCGCAAAATGGAGGCGTAACAGACCGAGGTCTCGCGGTTTGTATCGTCGCGTATGAAAGAGAACACCGCGCGCGATAACGAAATAGAGAACAAAAGCGGAACCGATGATAACCTTTCACCGCTCGCATTACTTGTAATGAACGCTGACGGTGTTAGCGTGGGATTAACAATGTTTCTCTCGCGCTCGCTAACGCGCACGCTCGTTAAGCTGCGCACGTTCGGTGCGTTTCATCGCGCGTTTATCCGCGCGCGAGCGTGAAGAAAAAACTCCGTCAGAGAGGACGCCATCTCATTTCCATTTCTTTTCACGACGCATCCGCGATCCGGCTTGCTCGCACGAGCTTGTACGTGGTTGATTGAAGTACCATCCGAGTGTCCTCCGGGCCCTTGTCGCTCAATTTATACGAAGCATAACGCCGCGACACGCCCCGGAAACTCGCGTTTCGTGAGAAAGGAAGCGGCTCCTCTCCCTTGCCCTATTCCCTTCCCTCCCTTGGGCTCTCCCCTGGCCCCTTCCCCTCGCCCGATCGATATATAAATTTTCTCCCGCGAACGCGGCGATAAACTTAAGACGAATTCCTTTTCGGCTGCGGGACGATAGATAAATAGAAAGCAGAGCTACGTGATTCGAAGTCGCAAGTGCAACACGTATTCGCGTCCCTCCCTTGCCCTCCGCTTGCCGGCCGCTTCGATCTCCCCGCGGATTACTTTCACACGTTTCACGGTTATGTATTTCGCCTCGTCGGTGGTGTCTGGAAGGTATTCCCCGCCGGGAACGGATTCTCTGATCACTGACGGCGCGCGCGACAACGTGACGCGACGTCGGCGATCGAGAGACGCGTTTCACGGGGAGACGAATTTATCGCGAGAGCTCTCTCGGCTATGAAGGACAGGAGTAACTTATCTTACTTAGTCACGAGGCACGCGCACAGGAGACGGCAACTCAAGGACTGCCCCGAGACATTTCGACAGTCACCTCTTTCAGGCTTGACTTTGGGATTGACTTGGTCTACCGAGCCATCTTAATTTGATCGATGAGTTGAAATATCAGGGATATCGATTAGATGTTGAGTTCCTCTGCCGGGATCTATCGTTGATACAGCACACTCCGAGGACTGAGCGTCGTTTAAGAAATTTCGCCTCGCCGACGTTCGTCTCTAATGACTTCGTTTATACGGACACTTTGACCGACCGCATTATTACGTACGCACGTACGTACGGACGTCGACGTTGCCGAAACGCGCCGTCCAGCCGTGACATTTTATACGGCTTCCCCTGCACATAAAAACGACAGCGATACATTCGCCGTATCAGCATAGTCATTTGTCGACGATCTGTCACGATCCCACTTCCGTCATGTGGAAATTTCGTTATTCCGCAACGGCATAATCGTAAACCGCGATCTCGCAAATTCCGCGACATCGACGTCGCTCGTACGTGCTCTACGTGTTTCGCGCATTCCGCGTGTAAAAGTGCAAGTTTTCAACCAACGATTTTTCTGACGGTGTCGACTTTTTGTCCCTTGAGAATAGATCACGCAAAGCGACAAGTGAAAAGTCAAGCGAGGTAGATGAACCTCGCGAAACTAAGGATTTACGAATGGTAAAGTTGCTATCCGGGTATTTCGCGTAATATTTAAATTAAACACTCACACGTATATATGTCTCTCTTCACGTGAATATCGATATAAAATATTGGAAAATAGTCGATAACATTTATTATTAGGTGATAATATTAATAGCTCGAAACGATATTTTTATCATGAATGTTGCAACAGGTCGCTGCGTGTGTGAATAGTTTACTATCGAGATTCTGAACGGGGGACACCTCATTGAACAACTATCTCATAAAGATGCTAACAAGAAAAACAACAAGAAAAACTCGTCGTTCGTTTCACTACAAAAATTAACAAAGAACGAACAGTGCTCGCGCACCGTGAATATCAGTGAGCGTGTACACATAAAATGCGCGGATAACGACGTCGTAGATCACAGCTGTCGTCGATTTGCGCAAAGCGCAAAGCACATCGGAATCCGACCGGTGACGGAGAAACGCGCTACAGGAAAATGCTGATCGCCAGTGCGTCCAACAATCAGACGATCGCTCCATCGTCATCCGTGAAATTACGAAGATCCCGCCGATTGTCGTCCACCCGAGGGTTGAAGCAGCGAACGATCGCAAATCCCCCGACCCATCCTCTTGCTTGCCAACATGTCGATCAGAGGCTCGGTCTTATGGCGAGCAAGAATACCGGCGAACACAACACTGCTGATAGACTGCTGATAAACTGGGAGGTGAACGAAAGGATCAGCCTGAGCAGCGGCTCCAGCGTAGGACTGGCGGTGCGTCCCGACACCAAGAGGGGCATCGAGTTCAGCGAGAATCGCCGGAGGGTGGTCGACAGCAGGTCGAAGAGCAGCGAGTGTTCGGAAGCGAGTCGCGCAGCCAAGTTCTCGTCGTCGTCGTCGTCGGCCAAGCCGCAGTTGCAGCTGATGAACGTATCCGGGTTTCCAGCAAACGTCGATAGGAAGCATCGCGGTTCCTGGTCGATCGAGACCGACACGACGGATGAGAACGTAATCAAGAGCGACTCCAAGTACGAAATCGGTATTCCCAGTCGGAGCTTCGCGACGAGGAAGCAGAGGCAGCAGCAGCAGGACACGCTCAGGAAGGTGAACGACGACACGACGAGGAGATGGACGAAGAACAAGTCCGGCGACTCCATCTCGAAACGGCTGGAGCTGATCCACGAGCTGAATCAGAAGATCCTGGCTAACTACGAGAAGTTTCAACAGAGATCGAAGCGCGCCAAGGACGCGAAGGAGCAGGCCGTGAAGAGCCGCGCCAAGGAAACTGACAAACAAGGAACTGAAGGAACTGAACACATCTACTCGGAAATCAAGAGAAAGGGCAAAACGACGTGTAGAACGAGCGACCGAAAGAGTCAGAAGATCCCTAGACAGGATACTCTTAAACAGAATGTATCTAGGAGGGATTCTCCAAAACAGGACCTCTCCGGGCAGATTGATATCGGTAAATTTACCTTCTCAAAGAAGGTAAACCACCGCGAGAGGATCAGCAGTAAAGACGGATCAGAGAAAAAGGAGTCGTCGAGAGTCATAGATAAGCCCGATCGGCGGGTCCTTTGTGAGAATGCGAATTTTAGCCTGGCGATTAAGGACGATTTTCGCTACGAAGCGGACGACGAGAACACGCGGTCGTCGACGAGCGCGAAATCGAAGGAGAAGAAAGGACGACGGTCCGAGGGAAGTTCGATTTTCTACACGAACGAAGACCCGCCGCCGTCGAGCGAGATAAAATCTGCCTCGTCCGAAAATTGTTTGGAGAACTCGAGATTGTATCCCGAGAACCGCTGCAATCCTGGCAACGATCGGCCGAGGCTGGACGACGGAAGCGCGAAGGTAAATGCAAGGGATCACGCGTCGGAGATTGATCGGTCCGATCCGCGAGAAGATGCCGGATCACGCGCCGAGCCGGCCGACGCTGTCGTCCTGGACGAGAAAATCCTGGAGTGCAGAATCCTCGAGAACCTGGACGAGACGATCGACAAATTCGATAACGAAAGGACGCAGCTGACATCGGGGGATAGCAACGACGAGAAGGACAGCTTTAGCACGGATTCTATACAGAGTCGCAGCCCGTCGAGCGCCAAAGGCTCCAAGGATGCTAACCTCTTGGATACCTTCAATTCCTCCTGGGACTCCGGAGTCGGCGTGGACGTTAGTAACGGAAGCGGGTGGGTGAGGATACACACGGGGATCGAGAGCAGTCTCGTATATCTTACCTTGGACACCACAGCCAAGGACGTCTGCAGAGACATGCTGCTGGGAGACGACTTGTCTCTGTTTGTCCAGGTAAACGGCGACTCCCGCGGCTGATTGTTCTTTCAGCTCCCGCGCCAACAGAGCCCGCGCGTATTTCACGATGAAAGCGCGGGTTAGCCGAGAGAGGTGTAAATGAACTCTTCGCGAGCGTCGAGGATTGAAATCGGTATAATTCCGGTGAAATTAAACGAATTTACGGCAAATTTATCCGCCGGCTATTATCTGCATCCGTTATCTACAGCCATTACCGCGTTTTCGCCACCGCGAATAGGTACGGGAATTATCTCCATCTCTCTTATTCTCTCTCTCTCTCTCTCTCTCTCTCTCTCTGTCTCTCTCTCTCTCTCTCTCTGTCTCTCTGTCTCTCTCTTCTGGCAGTTATTCTCGACTTTAATAGGAAGAGAGAAAGATAAAACTCATTTCTATACGCATTCTTTAAACAATCCGACGCAACGTTGGCAATTTCGCGAAGAAACGTCCGGCGTCTCCGCAGAGTGCCGGCGATACGAAATTTAAGGCTCCTCCTTTCGCAATCGGTGATTCGTAACATTGGGATTTATAGCCGCTGAAATTACAGCGGTTACAATAGCTCCGTGTCGTCCTTATTCTGAAATTTTTATTTATCGACCACGACCACACCACGCTGAGAAGAGCAAAGTAACCCTCTCTCGTCGTTTGCGCGCCACTGTCGCGCGGGGACAAGCGCACCGTGCAGCCCGGCTTCTCAAAGATAACGATGTACGCGCGAGTAATCAAAGGAGTCTAAGACTTAAATAGCCGGCTAGCTCCGGTGAAAGAAGTTTTGGCTCAATGAGAATATTGAAGCCGCCGAGCTAACTATATCCGTGCGGGAAGGACGAGTTCGCTGGATTCCGCGAACCTCCTAATAGCGAGAGCATTTAGACGCCTCATTACTCGGTAATTGTTAATTGGCCGCAAGTAGTTAATTATCGGCTGTGTTGAAGCTCAATGCGGGGGAATGTCAAGTGTCTGAGACCTTAGACTCCCATCTTGAAAATAACATCGTTCCATTCACGCCTGAAACACAAAAGGGGAACAAAGCGATTGTTCCTTTAGTCCGATTAGATAATAATCAGAAAATTCTTCGACAACGCTGAGTATTTTATTGATTGATGCAAATGTGTATGAACGTGAAGAAAAAGGGGGATGGTGTGTGTGAGAACGAGCTGAAATAATTTACTTAATTTATACATCGTGCTCTCGTTAAAGCAGACATTGCAATCTTTTACACAGAGTGTCATTAATTACGCATTTTCTCGAGCGGACGCAAACGGGGTAAATACGTTGCAGTTCGATCGGTTTCGCTGCCTCGTAAATAATATAATTCATTATTGTTTTTCATGCGCACGCTTTGTTAGACATCCCGTTATATATTTGCATCGAAATTTGTAATTAAAATTATCGCGGAATACAGCAAACGGGCATTCGCTTATCGCGAATTAAATGTTGCACGAGATAAAACCGAGCGTAGTCGAAATTATTTATCAACAGAAATTGCATCTCCGATTTTAAATGTGACGCACGCTGGTCTCGGCACGACGCGCGCCGAGATTCGTCCGTCTTCCGCAAAATGCTGTGAAGAAAACACGAGACCGTGGGGAGACTTTGCGTGACGTTTCTCTCTCTCTCTCTCTCTCTCTCCCTCTCTCTCTCTCTCTCTCTCTCTCTCTCTCTAAATTTCTAAACGTTTCCCGCGCTGCGTGCGCGATATTTTCATACTGTCCGCTGCGCGCGTTTGTCCGCGGGACAATTTCAAAATAGCGAATTTAATTAAATTATCATCATGGAATTGAAACACATATAAACGGTATCGCGTTCCTCTTGCACAGGGACGCATATAAATACAATGGTAAAATGTTTTACGAGTTTAAAACATCGCGTCCGCGGGACTTGGGAAATATCCGAACGTTAATTTGCACGTTAATTTCCCCCGATTATGGGCACGACACGTGAGAATTCGCTGCGTAATACGTGCGATGAATGGGAATGCGCCGCGTTTTCTTCTTCTCTTTCTCTCTCCTTCAAATTGATTTTTTGCCAGTTATCCGTATTATTCGCACGGTTGACTGCTCGAGCGGCTTTCGCGCGCGCGGCGAAAAACCATGCCAACACCTCCCGCGGATTTCTTTCCGAGCATTCGCCATTCAGAATGTAACTGCACCGAGAGTCGCAATATCACTGTCTGAATGCGCGTAATTCCTTAACGCAATTATTCTGAATACGTGACTGCGATGCGAACGGAATGATTAAGACTTCGTTCATTTGTCGAGCGTGAAGAACGAAGCGACGCGGAAAATTCGCTCGTTTTCATTAAGCGCGCGAAAAAGCAGAAGGATGGAGAATTTACTCGCTCGCGAAACAGCCGGCGCTGCTCGGCGCAACGAGCGGCCGTCTGCCGTCGTGCGATTTCGTGCGATCGTCGCTTCGCGAAAAATCCGACTCTGGCTCTTTCTTCTGGCTCTTCCGTCACTCCGGGTTCACAGTGTCGTCCAGTATATGCGACGGGCGTGGGTCACGATCGCCACATGCTAACGGAATTTTTCCGCCGACGTGCCGAAAGACAGCTCTCAGAGTTCCGTGGGCTCGAAGGGGGGGGGGCAGGGAGGAGGCAGGGAGGAGAATGCAACGGGGCCGGCGGCGACGCGATCGCCAAAGAATCTCTATATTTTCAACGTGCGCCGATGATATTAAAGATCCGCCGGCCGCGGTAGGAATCTACTGCCGCAACGTGGTGCTCGTCGATGAAGACTTCCTCGACGTATGGAACCCTCGTACCGTGAACGCGCGCGGGCTTATCGCGTTAAAAAACTAAGTGACCCAGATCCGCGGGAATGTCCCCTCCCGTCCCCGGTTACTCGTGGAGGCTAAGCTAAAAATAATGCTCGCTTGCTCGAATGTCGCAAGTTCGGTCTCGCGCCCCCCCCCCCTTCCTCCCTCTCTCCCGCCTCCAATTAATCCGGAAAGATAATCGCCCGCGTGGAAATCCGCGCACGGCCGTATCGGTGTCGGTTGACCGCCGCCGGCGCCGCCAATCACGGCACTGCCGGCTCGATGTCGAGCCGCCGAAGTTTCACCGCAGAGCGATAACGTCCTTCCACGTGAACGTCCACGTGTACGAACGGCGGGACGCTTAGAAAATCATGCGGGGCCGGTATGATGGGCGTGACGGTGCGCGAAGGGCATCGCTTGACCCGATATTTCGGAGAGCGTGCTCGCCGAGCTCGTGTCCGGTCATCGGTTCGTCCGTTATCGTCGTTATCACAATAACGGCGGCAGCGTATCTCTCAAGACTGCGAGTCCCTTCGCCGTGGATCGTCGCCGTCGAATTAGCGGGAAACTACGCGCGATTCCTCCTCGAGCGATATCGGAGTGCAGTGCGCGTCAACGTCGTGGCTCGCATTGACCCGAATGGACGTCGCAGCTCCGACAGTTCAACAGTAATAAACTGTCACTGACACGTCACAGGCACAGGCGAATGTTTGATCGCGGCCGCGTTAACACGCGATCGACCTGTCGGAGGGCGTAACCACGTGGCTTCCTGAGTTGGGCGTCTTCGAAAAGTCGCGCGAGGTTGCAGCCGAGCTCGAACGACAAAGGTTGCGAGAGTGAAGCGAGAGTAAGTCCGTGAGTCAATAGCCCGAAGTGCAAATTTATATAAAATCGTGCGTCCACAATTTGTCCAGTACGCAACTCGAAGGATGACACTCTCTCAGGGGAGTGCTGAGATGAGGACAATCGCTCGTTTGCCCTTCTTGTTCATAAATCTCGCTCGTACCGATCGCGAGCGATCGATGGCGACGCGTCATTTGAAGGGAAACGCTCGTAGGAGCGCGTTCGTGACGATATTTGCGCGGTTTTTTTTACTTGGTCCTAATTTTTGTTCGCGGACGGATAAATAAGGATGATTTAGGTGATGAGAGAGAAAAATGTGATATATCGCGGACAAACGAACGCCGCGCGTGAATTTCATAAAAAGCCGCGCTCTGGGCTGCTAACTTCACAGCGAGAGCGAGGCTACGGTGAGGTTGCAGAAACCCGGAATCCGACATGCGAAACTCGCTAGCTGACTGGTTGGTTGGCGCAACGAAACGAACCCAGGCATTATTTCTACGAGAGATCCCGCGGGATTCGCGAGAGACTGTCGTCGCCGCGGTGGAAGGACCGTTCGATCTCGCAGATCGAAACTCCGCGTTCGTTCGACGATTGTTATTGGTCGGAGGAAAGAGAGATCGATGCGCGAGTAAAGAGGGCCAATCCATGAAAACAAACGAAAGATTCCGCAGATCGTGAAATCTCTCGAGAAACGTTCCGCCAGGGTCGGAGCCGCGGTACGGCGAGAAATATTTAACTTTGCTATCGTGCGCGCGAAGGCTTGAAGGTAAACGTGACGCAGGAATGTACGCAGGATCGCGCAGTGACGTAGCAATATTTCGTTAGATTTAAATTCGCGCATGCTCGCTGATATATTTGCGCTGGACGTCCCCATTTTGTCACAGCAAATCACGATTACTATTCGCAAATGCGCCATACGTCGATGATGTATACGACAGAGAAAGGGGGCAGGGAGGCAGGGAGGAAGGAAGGAAGGGAGAGACGGGCTTTCGCCCGTTGCGCGACAGATTTAAGTCTGACGGATGAAAATACGTTTCGCGCCGTACGCGCGTTTCTCTCCTCGTCTAACAATCAAATAATCCGAAAGTCTCGTCGGCCCTGTTTTCTCCCTGAGTGGAAAGCGTCACGGCGCTTTTCGGTGACAAACAAACGTGCATGAAGACGGACGGCATGATAATGAATTCAACGAACGTATAATGCGGGATTTAACGTGGCAAGAAGGAGCATTTGATATTCATCCGCGGTAGAAGCCAATCTTCGGCTTGAAGATCATTCGCAGCACGTGATGTTCTTGTCTTCGCGTCGGCGCGATTATCGCAAATGGTCGGCCCGCTCGTGCGAATTATCCGCTTTCGCAGTGCTCGACGAGCGTCTTTATTCGCGCGAGATCTCCGTAA